CATAGAGATGACTTGAATCAATGAATCTCTATGAGGAAAGTTCAGTGTCTGCATGCAGAGGGTGGAGACACTGAATGTTTAGATGCATTTTAGGCAGCCATGACCCAGGAAGGATCTCTAACAGCTATCTGAGGAGTGGCCAGTGAAGTTATCACTAGGCTGTAATTTAAACACTGCATTTTCTCTGAAAAGAAAGTGTTTACAGCAAAAAGCCTGAAGGTAATGATTCTACTCACCAGAACAAATCCAATAAGCTGTAGTTGTTCTGGTGACTATAGTGTTCTGTTTCAGTTATTTATTTTACCCACATTCCAAGAGTTAAATCAGTCTCATAGTACCTGACACCGGAACATTTAGCACATATCTAACCAAACACTTGTTGGAGGTGTAGGAACAAAAAAGATTGCTTGTTCATATCTTCTGGGACTCTTCAGCCCTTAAATTGATACACCAGACCCCTAAAGCACTCTAAAGCTGAAAAGCTTTATGTGTGAAGACTATGTCCTCTTTTTTTCATTTTGCAAAAAGTGCAGATTTCAATAGTTCAATGGTTATACCCCCTTGGCTTTCAAGCAGACAACAGGCCCTGTTACTTCCTGGTTTGTTTAGCTCAGTGGAGCTAAACTCAAGATGCATTAATTACTCTGAGCACCTGCCTTTCAAAGACTTATCATTGAGCTGCATTGAGAAGTCTGTGATTGGACAGCCATAGAATACCTAGGTAGGGTTGGAAGGGGAGGGTTTGCAAAGGCAGCAAGTAAGAAAACAGTCATTTTGATTTATTTTGCATTTGGGAAGTGGAGTGTCATTTTAAGGCACTCTGGATGAAAATACATGCCCTTATCTACAAGCTCACACAAGGTGTGCTTCCCCAAACAGTCTCAAAATACCGACAAGCTTTAATTCTCCACACCCTTACTGCAGCCAAACTCTATAATTAGGCAATGGAAATCAATAACCCTCCCAACCATCCAATTGGTAACTAAATAACTACATACAATACAAACCTATGAATTAATGGCTCAACAAAGCCTAAACACGCAATCAAAATTCAAGAAAATGTGGTGTGACTGGGACACAAACCTGGTGAATTAACACAATATCCACCACCCCCAACAATAGTGTCCATTAAGCTATTCTAGTACCTCCTCCATTAACCCCCTTTTATCCCTGTTTCCTTTTTCCCCATCTTCAGCCCTAAACTTCCAGCGTTTTCGCTCTCCTATTTCTACTAATCTTATCATCACATATAAAGTTATAGAAATATTATGTTCACTGACTCCAGAATTGCTGTATGTGAAATCATTTCAATTCCTGTTGCACGTTTCTGGAAAATCTTAATAAAGATGACATATTAAAAAAAAAATCAATCCCACAGAAGGGCAAACAATATACATCAAGTACATAGGAAAACAAAATGGTGGCACCTGGATTTTAAGATCAAGTTGAAAAAAAGAAAAGCAAATAGCAAGGGTTGAAGTATAATCATTAAAGACTGAAAGAAATAAAACATGACAGGGCCTCTTTTAGCTTTGCTTTTATTGCTAAGAGCATAACAAACAATACACAAATCATTAAATATTGAATTCATGTGATAATAAATGCACAATGTATGGAGTGTATGTGAGGAACCTTTGAGAAATCATCATTATACTGGAAAATATGACGACCATAGCAATTATTCCTTACAGCCCAGACTGAGTAACTGGAATTACACATGAGTGTTTATCTCTTTCTTTATCTGTACATTTTTAGCTCTTGGTAATGTTTAATGTTGCACAACTGGGCTAGTTTATTGGCAGGGAATTTATTAAACAATTATGTGGTGTTGAAAAAAACATGCTAAGAATATTTTAAGGTATTTTATAGTTCCTTTCTACTCTATATTTTTACTGCACTGTGCCATCAGTTGTGCTAACTTGTTCATTCTATAGCTTTATGTATTTAAAAAGTTAATGTCAAGTTGTTTGTTTTATTATACCCTTCTTTGGCCGTTGCAAATTGAATTATTTTCCTTTTAAAAGGTCATTGATGATAATAAATATTAAAGGGACACCCCTGAGTAAAAAAATAAAAAACATTCCCGTATAAAACACCTTTACAATTAAAGGAACACCCCATTGCAAAAATAAAAAAATCAATTTTAAACCAAAAATATGCTTCTTTAAAAGCATGCGAAAACTTGCCTATCATTATCCTAAATATTTTGCCGTGCAGTGATAGGCCCGTTTTTCAAATCCTTTTTGTTTGTCCAAAGGTTTGCATGGACAATATTCGGAAGAGCTAAAACGCAGTGTTGACGAAATTTGCTTACATTTTAATTAAAACATTTTTTTTCCAGAATTGATTTAGCTGAACTGAATTTTCCTTTGTGCACAAGTCTAACCATCAATACCTCATGTGCTGTTTAGAACTAGATATTCTGTGGCATTACAGGATTCCATGATAGAAAAGTTCCCTTCCATGAAATAATCAGTAATATGATATGTAAGCCAGAGGTTTGCATACCTGCCTTATGTATAAGGTCATGTTTGAAGTAATTGATCTAGCATAGGACATACATTGTGCGTAAATAAATTATACAGCTTTCCTGCTCTCCTACCTGAGTTGAACTTAAAGGGTCACTATAGTCACCAGAACAACTCCAGCTTATTGCATTTGTTCTGGTAGAGTAGAATCATTCTCTTCAGGCTTTTTGCTGTAAACACTGTCTTTTCAGAGAAAATGCAGTGTTTACATTACAGCCTAGTGATAACTTAATTGGCCACTCCTTAGATGACTGCTAGAGGTGCTTCCTGGTGCAGTGTTGCAGAGTAAGCAGAACTGCCATTCAGCGTCTTCACCCTCTGCATGCAGACACTGAACTTGCCTCATAGAGATGCATTGATTCAATTCATCTCTATGAGGAGATGCTGATTGGCCAGGGCTGTGTTTGACTTGTCCTGGCTCTGCCTAACCCTGATCTGCCTCCTTGACTGTCTCAGCCAATCCTGTAGGGAAGCACTGTATTGGCTTAGACCACCAGACCACCACTTCTGATGATGTCAGCAGACAGAGGCAGTTCAGATGCAAACAAGGGCAGAGCCAGGAGCCGCAGATTTAAATACAAGTAAGATTTTACTATATTTAGGGAGGCAAGATTGGAGCCAGGGGGCTAGGTAGAGGTTTTAATACTATAGGGTCAGGAATACATGAAAACATGTCAGGAATAATCTAGCTCGTATCTTAAACCTTTTCTTATCTTTTCTTTGTTGGCTCAAGCGTGTATTTGCTATATAGGATTTCTGTTTGCTATCAAATTATGTTCTATCACAGGAGAAGACAGTGTCACAAATGTTGGTTGAAGATGGGGGAACCATTTACTATGAAATGGCAAACAGCTTGTGTTAGTATAAGAAGGCTAACACCTAATACAAACCATTATTAATTAAAAGGGCACTTTGGGTTAAAGACAACATAAATGCATTTAAAGGACCACTATAGTGCCAGGAAAACATACTCGTTTTCCTGGCACTATAGTGCCCTGAGGGTGCCCCCACCCTCAGGGTCCCACTCCCGCCCGGCTCTGGAAGGGGGAAAGGGGTAAAAACGTACCTTTTTCCAGTGCTGGGTGGGGAGCTCTCGTCCTCCGATCCTCCTCCTCTCCTCCCCGTCGGCTGAATGCGCATGCGAGGCAAGAGCTGCGCGCGCATTCAGCCGGTCGCATAGGAAAGCATTATCAATGCTTTCCTATGGACGCTTGCGTGCTCTCACTGTGATTTTCACAGTGAGAAGCACGCAAGCGCCTCTAGCGGCTGTCAATGAGACAGCCGCTAGAGGATTTGGGGGAAGGCTTAACCCATTCATAAACATAGCAGTTTCTCTGAAACTGCTATGTTTATAAAAGAATGGGTTAACCCTAGCTGGACCTGGCACCCAGACCACTTCATTAAGCTGAAGTGGTCTGGGTGCCTAGAGTGGTCCTTTAACTAAAATGGATTCCTCAAGGCTTTCATAGTCCTGTGTGCCACTTCTTTTCAACACAAACATTTTATTTAGTTCCGTTTTGTCAATGCTAAACTACTATTTTCCAATTTGTGAGCACACGCTTAAAGAAGTACCTGACGTCTGCTTTAAATCCAGCGGAATATGGAAAGTGCACAGCTTGCTTTAAAACCAAATTTACTTTATATCATATTAGCTTTCAATGTTTAACTAGAGGTTATTTCCATCCACACATATATTCACTGCATACATCAATTAACCAAGCATTACTGCACAAATTTGGAGGAAACTCATTATGTATATTAGATATCCTTGCCTTTCAACACTACCAGATTTTTTTTTTTTTTTTATGAAATGAACTTTTTGGGGTATTCAATGTGAATTTCGCATTGAAGGCCACAGTAGTCAAACTGAAAACATAGCTGATTTGGGAACTTTTCCTACTTTCCCTTAAATTTAAAATACACTTTGAATTCCAAACAATTTTCGCTTTAGCAAGTAACTCTGATAATCCTGCCTTTAAGACACTGCCTAGGTGTATGAATAATCAAAAGTAAAACCACCTGGGTAGCAGAAATACACAGGCACCCGATGTCTTACTTGTGTCATATAGCAGAGTTCTTATTAACTGTATAATTCTTTATTATTTTGCTACATAGAAAAGAAAATATTTAAAGTACATATAATTAAAAAGGAAAACCTTCTTACTCCAAAAGTAAGACACTTTCATTTAATATTTGAGTTTTATTGCAAATTCAGTAAAAGTGGAAAATAAAATCCAAAACAAAACAACAGAACACTTAAATAATATGAATTGGTTTGTGGTACCAATAACACATAGGACACAAATGGGCAATCACTACTGAAAACCAGGAATTACAAACTATACATTAATTACACTATTAAACATTCTAGCTCTGTAAACATTTAAAATCCTGAGTTTTCTGCACAATATATATATATATATATATATATATGCCTTGTTTTATTAATTAATACAAAAAAACCTATAAAGTCAGAGAACATATAAACAGTTTCAAATATCTTAATTTAAAAGGCATACAGTACAGTATGTACATTTTTACAATGAGTAAATGACTAGAAGCTTAATCTAGGCCTGGTTTCAAGCCTAGATTACAAACAAAGGTCGTAACTGTACCCTAGCATTTGTTTGACTGACTAAAACAACATTTCTCACTAGTGAGTTATATTCTATTTTTATACAATTAATTCTGTCCCAGTTATATACATTTTGTGAACGTTACAGACTGCAGTTACATTCGTCACTGCGTGAGCTTGTTTGTTTTCTATAAAATGAATAAGTTAAACAAAAGTATACAGATTTACATTTTTGCATAATTTAACTATTTGTGTTGCAGAATTCTCTGTAAAATTTCCTTCGGGCAGCTTCTAACAGTATCATTCCTATGATACAGACGTTTTCTCCTTCATCTTGTTTACTTTTTGAGGTGGTTGAGAATTTTAACATTTTTCACATTTCTGTAAAAATATTATACAGAACATTAGTTATCAATTTTAGTTATATGTATTTATACATGTTTTGTTCATGTTTCCACGTGAATAATTTTGTGTTTTCTTGTTCTTTTAACCATAAGCCCCCTTTTCTCCCGCAATCCATAAGACCTAGATTTTTCAGCGGATTAATTACGGTAATTTTATTTTTACAATTAAACTGTGATATTGCACTGTTAATGTCATACATTCAAAACATGTAGGAATTACTAAGTAAGCTCTTCTTCTACATCCTTATATATCCCCGATGTCATATGAGTTGCTAAGACATCAGAGAAGAGCTAAGGCTTAGGAAGGCTTTAAACATGTATTTCGGGAAATACAAAATGGTTATATAATAGAGGGGGTGTAGTAGCAGTTAGGGAACAGACATGGAGTAGGCTTAGGAAATAAGGAGAACGGTTAAGGTTAGGAAATATGGAGAGGGTAAAATATTAACCAAAGGAAGCAATCGACCAATAGGCTTCTCTGATGGGGGGATCCTTCTCTTTAACCCCTTAAGGACACATGACATGCGTGACATGTCATGATTCCCTTTTTTTCCAGACGTTTGGTCCTTAAGGGGTTAAATGACCCCAGTGTTCTGCAATGTCTCACTATGCTATGTTATTATTTTCATCATGAACAAATGATATAGCACAACATCTAAATATAATCAGGATGACATACTTTCAATAGCAAAAATCCAGTTTGTTATTGATTATCCCATCGTTCACCCCATATCAAGTAAAAATTACCCACCTTGTATTTCCAGAAATTACTTCATTCACCAACTTTATATTTGGAGAGATGCATATTGTTTTCTTTGACTTTTTTATAGTAACTCTGAAATAACAAAAGGTAAGGAAAACCACAATTCAATACAATTTGATGTGGATCTAAACTTTCTTATGTTAGCATCAGCCATAGTTATTTTGTTATTGCTTACAAAACCCCCCCCAGAAATAAAGCCTTTGTCTAAAATGTCAGAAATCGACTAGTATGTCAAAAAATAATCATGTATTTACAATCCATATTTAATATTCAGAGGTATATTCATCAAACTCCGAATGGCAACCAGTCAGCAGACACATGGAGTTTGGTTGTCAAAATGTTTTTGTTTTAACCCATTCAGCTTTTAACAACATTGGATATTTAAACTAAATTTGCACTTCCATTCAGGTACAGCTCAGCTGTTGATTTTCGTATAATATGAGTTATTTGTCTGTTCATAAATAACTTGATTTGTTTGTTACAATTCCCCTGATACAGACCTGGTAATTGCACCAAAATTACCCTAATACTAAATCTCCCTAATGCTACCCCAAATCATCCTTAACACTCAAGATACCCCCACCATATATCCTTATCCTCCCACAAACCTGACTTTTACATTAGTGGTATATTATTTATTACTTGTAGCAGAGAATATCAGTAACAATTTAGCTATAAGTCAGTTTGAATTCTGTTGCAATTCGGTTGACCGATTTTCAAATGAAAATACAAAAGTGATACAACTTCAGAGAGTAAATAAGGCGCTTAATGGTAATGATACAATAAGTGTGTTAAAAAGCAGCTGTGTAAACACTCTGTGGTTATCCTAAAAGAATCCATAAATATAATAAACCAACAAAAAAACAAAAACGTTAATGTTTAGCTGATCCTCCCTACCACCTAAAACATATAAGTAAGAGTGCAGCGCTAAGATAATTTATATTCAACCTACCCCTATAGGGGATACATGAAATGAAAACAAATGATACAAAATAGTGTGATATTGTTAACAAATTCTAAATTCAAAGTGAATAATGTGTGCACATAAAACTCGCATTTGTTACAATTTGTTTACAATATCACACTATTTTGTATCATTTGTTTTCATTTCATGTATGTGGAGAAAAATCCCCTATAACTGTGAGGCATAAGTTGTACTTAAATTATCTTAGCACTGCACTCCTATTTGAATTGAATCTCACTGTAGCAATGACATCCATGTAAAATTGCAGGGATAAATTCAGCTCAATTTGGTTACCATTTGGTTCTTAGCTAATACAGTGAATGCCAGAGGAATTTTAACAACCGAATGCAGGAGACTTGAGCTAAAAGCAAACGTGTAAAAGCAGATTTAGTGTTTAGTTAATAGATCCCATTCTGATTAATTAAACTAACCCAACTAAACAATCTCAACTAATGTTAAATAGCTCTGTTTTAAAGTAACAGTTGACCCCAAACATAAAGTACTACTTACACAACTTCGATTTTTTCACACGTGGAGCTTACTGGAAATATTTCCATTTTTGACACAGTTTTAATATTTAGGTTTGTAGTGGATTGCGAGCACAGGCATCGCCTGCCACGATGTGGGGCGGCCATTCCTGATGAAAAAGAAAAAGAAATAAAATCAATGTAAAAATGAGTTGTTGCTATAAATGCATACATTATATATATTCTATAATCTCTCTATGCAGTACCTTCTATTAGAGATGCAGAGACGAGGAGAACACAGATGGTGATGAGACCTCTACTTTCCATCCTGCCTGTTTATGAAGATTATCTTTCTAGTGGTGCCCTAACTCTGTCTGTTCCTAACAGATTGTTGAGCCCTTTATATACTCTTCTGAAATCCTATTATTTATGTCCGTTACATCATCATATCTCCAATTGAAATGAAACCTATAACATTTCCTGTAAAAGAGTGAAAGAGTGACCTAATGCTTAGCGTGGAAGTGAAAGTTAACTTTCCATATAATGTATTAAGAACATATTTTACCTAAAAGCCATGTCAGCTAAATATGGTCTGTGAGCACAGTGATGTCTGTGAATCTTTGTGGGGTTTTTTTTTTTTTATAAAATATCAAATTGCAGAAATTAAAACCAGATAGTAAAATTTAGATAAAAGTCCTTATCTGCAAAAAAAAAACTCAACTTTTATTAAAGTGTCCATAATAAAAAAAGACAAATGCAAACAAATAAAGAAGAAAAGAAAAACAGCATTATCAATATCTTCTCTAAATGAAAAAAATAAGTTATTCCCGAATAGCCGGCCTAACACTTTTCTTGGCACAATTTCGTAGAGCACCATCTAAAAACAGCTCAGGAGCAGACAGTGCAAAATCCACCAGTTTCTTAAATATAAAATACAAAATTTCGGAATGAGATGTTTAGGAATCTGCACATTTCATTGGAAGGTCTTATTTGTTTCTACCAAACAGTCTGTCTATTGAACTGTTAGTCCTTATAGGGAAAGGGGCTTAACCTTAACCTTAACCTTTATATATAATAAACTTGTAATGTCACAATGCTGTTGCTGCTGGTCTTTGCTGAGTTGCAGATAAAAATTCTGATTGCCATAGCTACTGGAGGTTTACACTTCATGTACATAGTTTGGGTGGTACTTATCTCTTCCATGCTTCTGAGTATATATACATTTATTGGTTACTGGCTTGTTGTGGTGGGGAAAAAAGTGTGGATGAAAACCTCTTCCACCTGAAGTAAGTGGATAGTTAATACATTGCTAAACAACACCACAACTCTGTTGGTATGTACTTTACAAGTAACGCCAAGACTCTATAGCAGTGATGGCGAACCTTTTTGAGCCCGAGTGCCCAAACCGCAATACATGCCAACTTTTTTTTCCTCAAAGTGCCAACACGGCAATTAAACCTGAATACTGAGGTTTAAGTTTAGAAAAAAACAACTCTTACAGTTGACCGAACTAGTTAACATCTTTTGTTTTAAAACTGGATGGGCATTGAGGACAAAACTGGATGGGCATTGAGGACAAAGGCGCAAATCTCAGACGCTCCTGGACACTTCATCTGTGCTTCATATAAAGTGAAGACATCACAACCTGAAACCCACCATTATGATCCAGCTATAGGTCCCTTGTACTAAGGCCTAGCAATGAGACTTTGGACTGCTCTGCATACATCTGTTCCCCCGGGTGATAATTGGGTTGGGCACGCCACATAGCGCCCGCGGGGGGGTCACGCGGGGGGGGACCCCCCTTTGATGCTAAGATGCATGCTGCCTATTCCCACCTCATACTACACGCATTGGAGTTGGGCGGGCTACAGGGGAGGGAGGGGGGCCAACTTACCCCTATCCCTGCTCTCTTCTACCCCCTTTGGTCATCCTTCCCCTTCTCGCTCCCCACCACCCCCTACCCTATCCTCTATCCGCCTGACTACCACCCAAGACGGTCTCCATCCCTCCCCGTTCCAATTGGCCTGCCACGGGGGCCTGCGCCCACGCGGGGTGACGAGAGTCAGACAGGGGTGAGTAGAAATCTGGGTATACATCGCTTAACACACGCACCTGAGAAACCATGGCCTATCGACCGGCTCCCATATCTGTCCTCACCCTTAATTGCAGGGGATTGAACATCCCGGAACGGAGGTCCCACCTCCTTCGAGAACTTAAGAAAAGACATATATCGGTGGCAATGCTACAGGAGATGCACTTTCGTCCCGGTGCGGCACCCAAGCTCCAGAATAAATCGTACCCAACAAACCACTTCTGCAACCACCCTACGGCAAGGAAGGCTGGGGTTGCAATACTGATATACGCCGGACTGGAGCTACTCTTTGCGCTGCAACACCAAGCGAGGAATACACGACAACCCCTTCTCTTGATTTGGATAACCCCGAACCCTAAAGACCTATATCGGCATAACTTCGCCCCTCTCCTGAAGAAGATAATGACAGACTTGGAAAGATGGGCATACCCACACATCTCATGGCACGGACAGATAGCAGTTCTCAAGATGAACATCCTACCGAGACTGCTATATCTGTTCCAAACAATACCTCTTGCCCTGCCGGCAACCTTCTTCTCCGCTTTGAGATCCGCGGTCATACGATACGTATGGCGGGGAGAGAGGGCACGACTGAGATACGACCTACTCTGTCTACCCAGATCTCGCGGTGGCCTAGCGCTACCTGATTTTAAGAAGTACCACCAAGCCACGGTCCTGCAGCGAATTATTGAGTGGCACGCGGAGCCTCAACAAAAACAATGGGTGGCGATGGCACGAGAGGGCCCTGCAACCCCTGTACAACCAACCATATGCGGAGGGATAACCAGAAAAACACAAAGAGTTGCTAAAGAGGGACCGATGGAACAAACGCTATATAGCTGGAACTCCATGAGGGAGGCACCTCATATCTCGCCAACGCCCAGTCCGATGCTTTCAATTACCAATAATAACGCAATAGGGGGTGGATTCCATCCAACAACGTGGCCCTTTGCGGAAGGTCGCGAATATATACCAATCCACACGATCTTACAGAACGGAACACTGCAGACCCTAGACACATTACTAGAGGGAAAGCCCCGGACACCCCTGGCAGTTTTTCGTTACCTACAAGTGAAACACTATTACGATAGTATAAGGAATAAGCAACAACTCCACAGGGAACGCACTTGGCTGGAGGACTGCTGTGAGAAGAGGCTCGTACTGGGGAATGCTATTTCTACACTGTACCAACACCTTCTGACCGGACATCTAACGAAAAACACAACGTTCCGCAGGCAATGGGAGGAACGATTAGACACGACTTTCACGCCCCAACAATGGGACAAGGCGCTTATTTGGCAACACAAGAGCTCGGTTAGCTCCCAATTTCAAGAAACAAATTACAAATTGATAGCCTCCTGGTACAGGACTCCTGTCCTTCTACATAGGATATTCCCAACCATTACCCCAACGTGCTGGAGATGCCTGAAGGAAAGGGGGACGATGATGCATATTTGGTGGGAGTGTAGCGAGATCACATCGTACTGGAACCTGATCAAACAGAGGATAATAGAAATACTGGGCGACGTGACGGACTGGTCAGCTGCACTGGCCCTCTTACACATATCGCAGATGTCAGTATCCTCCTACAAAAGATCCATCCTTCGACACCTCTTGAACGCAGCCAAGTCACTTATTCCGCTATATTGGAAAAAGACGGAAATACCCCGCGAAGAGGAGTGGATTCGCAGAGTGGAGGATATTCAAGGGGCCGAAGCATTGCAGGCAACACTGCAAGACAGAGGGGGTAAACATGCAGAGCGATGGCAGCCATGGTTTGTCTTCACATCACAAAATACACGGGGATAGAGACGCTGAGACCGGCGACACACCAGGGGGCGCCAGGCTCTCCGGGGCACGGCCAATATACGCTTCCACATACCATGATATCCCGACCACGCCCTCTACATGATGGGTGCAAGCCTGTTACCCCCCCATTCTTCTTCTGCACTCCTATCCACACCCATAAACAGATACTGCCAGGTGGCTAGACAAAATGCGGGAACCTAACACACATGCACCCAAGCAACCACAGGGGCCGTCTACATAGCATACATAACAAAATGATAATGGGCTCACTGTACGTCAAGAGGGCTTCTGATGACCTCAGGGGAACACCACACTCCACTCCATTCTATGCTATCTTTGTTCACTCTATGTGAATGTCTCTCACCCTAATCCAGGTAACCCAACCCATCCACTCCCCCTCACCTCACCCCTCTTTCTCTTTCTCTCTGGATCCCTCTCCACCTTTAAACCTACGACATCCACCATCTAGGAAGATATGCTAACACCTTAAAATGTAATTATGTTGCATGGTGACAGGTGGTGACTTAATTGTCTATGGATAAATATGTGAAATGCTTTACATGTAATTCTTCATGAAGATATAGGCGAATATCTAACGCCAAAAAGTATGATGTCTACATGTTGATGAGCTTTGGTTCTCTCTCATACCGAAAAACCTTTAATAAAGATTTTCAAAAAAAAAACATCTTTTGTTTTAAAAGAAGAACACAACAAAGAGTTCAATGATACAAATTTTAAATAATGATATAAATAGATAAAATTAAGCTTATATTTATTAGTATCTCCAACAAATGCAATGCATACACACAGACTGCTGAACACATTCACACACCGACTGCTTAATACATACACACACCGACACAGAGACAGACTGCTAAATACACACACTGTCCGCTAAATACACACACACACAAACATACACACAGTCTGCTGAATACACACACACACACACACACACAGTTCGCTGAATACACACACACTGCTGAATACATACACTGCTGAATACATACACACGCAGTCAGCTGAATACATACACAGTCAGCTGAATACACACACACACAATGCTGAATACATAAAGACTGCTGAATAGAGACACAAATATACTGCATTGAGGGGTGCAGTGTATGTGTTTGTGTGTAAGGGTGTGGAGTGCTGTGTGTGAGGGGTGCTGTGTGTGTGTGAGGCGTGCTGTGGGGTGGTGTGTGTGTGTGTGGGGTAATGTGTGGGAGGGGTAGAGTGCTGTGTGTGTGGGGTATGGGTGCTGTGTGTGGGGGTAGGGGTGCTGTGTGTGTGGGGGATAGGGGAGTTGTGTGTGGGGGTAGCGGAGCTGTGTGTGGGGGGTAGGGTGCTGTGTGTGTGGGGAAGGGTGCTGTGTGTGGGGGTAGGGGTGCTGTGTGTGGGGGGGCTAGGGGTGCTATGTGTGGGGAGGGTTGGGGTGCTGTGTGTGTGTGGGGGGTAGGGGT